GTGATGGTCAACCCATTTGCATAAAATTCCAAAGACCATGTGCCAAGAGTTGATTCCTCTTGACTTGCCATTAAAGTGTACCATGGCACAAAAAAGGTTGGACACCACTGATCTGGAGAATTTCCCCTAGTACAGTCCACAGTAAAGTAAAACCCTTAGTATAAAGATGCTATTTGAATTTAATTAGCTTGCAGTAACACATATCTTTATATTTCATGTCAAAATAGGTTGCTTGCCTGCGGCTTTTGATGCATATCTATTAAATGAAGATAGTTTTCTGCTATATATGTCACAAAAGGATTTCATTTTGTTAAAGAAGCAAGAAGAAAAAAAAAAATACTAAGCAAAAAGCAACAGCAAAAATAAAAAATCATTAAGGAAACAAAATAAGCACTTCAAATAACCGAGACGGTAAACAATGCCGAAAGAAAACTGCAACAAACGAAAAACTTTATGTTGTTTTGTTTTCATCTATTTTTCTCATATTGCTGTATATGAGCCTGAAAATGCACAATTTCTTTTTTTTTATGTTTGTCTCACAAAAAGCTCAAACTCTATTACTCTACTATTCCGCACGTCGTTTTTCCTTTTTTTTTCGTACAGAGAAAAACTTCTTTCGCAGGCAGTCTGGTGAAAATTAAATGGCATTTTTATTTAAAAACTTTTCATTTTCACAGGAAAATAATTTTTCCAACTCGAATGTGATTCTTGTTTGGTTGAATTTTCGGTTGAATTGAGTGGAAAAGAACAGAAAATAAAAGGAGTAGAAGCAATAACAAAAAAAAAAGAAAAAACTTTTTCGCTTTATTTTATTGCAATGAACTTAGAAGGAAAAACATTCTTCTTTCATATGTGTGGAATGTGAAATTGAAACGAGATACTTTTCAGACTTGTTTTCGGGCTATAAAATGGTAAGTTCACTCGTTAGATTGAGTTAAAGAGAGAAGTGTGCATAAAAAGGTCAATTTTGGTTTAGTAGATTGAACATACTAGTTAGTAGTTGTGATTGTAACTATTCGCATCATGATGTTTGAGTCAGTATGGAGTCAGAGTGAGAGCGTAAAAATTCTTTCAATTTGTTGAGATTCTGTCAAAGAGAAATTGATTCAAGCTACTTGCCAAGTGCATACACATTGCTTCACTAGCTTCAAGGGACAGGAATTCAAAGATTTCTAGTAATTTTTTATATCGACCCATTTGCTTCTCTACCTGCTAGATCCCTTCATTCCCATTAATAATGTTTACAAAATTAGAATCATCCTTCCCGATAATGTCACTCATTCAGTGCATGTTTCACTGCCATTGTCCTAATCACGCTATGTGTTGCTCAACGACAGATAGCAAATAAATTTACATTTTATTATAGCTCATTTTGGTCCAAATCTAAAGCACGCGATCTTCAATAATTTAAAAGAAAGCCAAATGCAATTTGAGTGGTGTCGCAAAGGTGTCTTAAGACATTTAAGGCTAAACTTTTATTTCATTTTAAATGGAGAAGGAAAAAAAAACTTTTTAAAAGTCAAAAAAAAAAAAATCTTTTTGTCGCAACTTAAAATGAAAAATTTATGAAAGCAGTTGTGGAACAATAAAAAAATTGTAGCAGATACCAAAAAACTCTTGGTTCCTCTATTCAAAGCTATCAAAAACATTTAAACACTCGTTTTACTCCCCCCAAAATGGTGTGAGAAAGATGGATAAAAAAAAAGTTTAAAATATCAACAATAGCGTGAATGAAAAGAAAGATGCTTACACACATTCCACACCATTTCGCTATAACACATACGGTACATATAATAGAATCTAAAAAGGAGGGCAAAAGGAAAGAAAAGTTTTCTTTACATTTATTTGAAGCATTTATTTGAAAAAAATAATTTTAGGTGCCAATAAAATGTCTGGTGTCTTATAACAGGTCACACATGTGTCTAACCATTTGTAGGCGTATCTGGTAGGCAGATGTGGTTATATGATTGAGCATCATACCAGATATCTTCAACTTTCTGTTGTGAGTACGATTGTTCGATTCCTACTTGTAGCTAATCTTTTAAATCACTGTTGATTTGACAAGGATTCGAACAATGGCATTCCAACCACAAATCTCGGTTCTATTCAAAAATGCGTTTTAAATTTCTTACATCCAGCAAAGAAGCAAAATAAAAGGAAAAGGTTGCGCTTTATCAAGAGCTATAAAAGTTTTTATTTTCTTTCCTTTAGAATTTTTTTTAACTCACCATTCAAACTACACATGTTGATGTTTAACAACTTTTATACATGCAAAAAGCAAAGAAAAAAAAAGTTTAAGTACCTTTTTTTGAGAACCCATGCATAAGTGGAGGAATATTGAAATATTTTAAAATTTATTCTTCTCATTCTAATAAAAAATCTCATTGAAAATAAAAATGAGAAAAGAAAAATTTCATTCATAAAATTTCTTTCGTTGGTTTTTTAAGAAGTTATTAATCTGACTGTTTCTTTTTCAATTTTGGAAGTTCTTTGGATATTCAAAATTAAACGAACTAAGTAGTAAAGTGAAACAAAGATTTTCAGAATAAAATAAAATTGATAGCTTTCGTAAAATTCTTGAGGGTTTTTCGAGATATTTTCTCAAAATGTTTTTTTTCTCATTCTATCCATTTCATTGTAAATAAATGATATTTGTAAGAATTCCTTTTTCTCTTTAAGAGATTTCAATTATCTTGGCTATTTCTTATTTATGCAAATGCTGAGCATTTTCTTTTTTTCAAGATGAACCTAGTTTTATCAACAAAGAAATTTCTGGAAGGGGTATGAAATTTTTTCATAAAAAGCCAAGGGTGGGGAACTGATAAATTACATTTTGATCTTTTTTGATCTTTTCGATCATTTTTGATCAGTTTTGAACATTTTAATCATTTCATCAGTTCCCGACCCCTGTGAAAAACTCAAGGGGAAAATAACTTTATTCCAAGGGTGTGAAAACCAAAAATGATCAAGACTTTATCAAAATTTATCAAAAATTATTAAAATTAATCAAAATCTAATCTATCAGATTCGCACCCTTGATTTACTATACAATCTTAAAATTTCAAAAAATTCCCACTAGTGTTGTGTTCCCCTTGAATTTTGTTTTAGTAAATTGAAGAAATTAATCCATTGTAAGTGTGGAGGGGCCCTAGACTTAATTTTAAATCCCAATTCATTTACTCAATATTACAGTATGAGCGTGCAACAACTGAAATCCAAAGTAGTACTTGAAAATTCTCTTCAAAAGCTCTTAATAAATCTAATTCTTGGTTTATCAAATTATGTTAAGCACCTTTAATATAAATAATATTTTTTAAGGTTTATATTGTTTTTAAAACAAGTTCCATTGTTGTCATTTGATGTAGAAAATTTATGTAGCATTGCTGAAGTCGGAATGTAATTGCAAATTTTAAAGAAATGTTTGAAAAATTTAAAATGCGTGAGTTTTAAGATCAAAGAGGTCGACTTGTGTTCGATCCAAATTCAATCAAATTGGTTAATTATTTTAAAAATGTTATACTTCACAAGAGCTAGTGGTCCAATTAAATTAGCAACAAAAAGTTCGAGTGAACTCAAATCGAACCTAATTCTACTTCAAACTTCGAAAAAAAGTTAAATTTTAATTAAAAACAAGAAAAAATGATCGATTAAGCACCACAAGATAAATACATAATATTATACACGGAACACTTACACTTGCGCTTTTAAAACAAAAGCTTTATAAGTGGAGTGCGCCAAAAAGAAACGAAACAGTTATGTATTGTGATCAAAAAACATTATTTCAATTTTCCTTTCAACTTTTTTTTTTATTCCAGACGAGTAAACATGAGGAATTTCTATAGAAATTTTCGTCTTCCCACAATTATCATTTTACCATCAACGCGCTCTCATAGTTAACATTACTTCTGGTTATTTTGGAAGCACATTGAATTTTGTCTATTTTGAAGCATAATAATATGAATATTGAAAAATGTAATTTATTAATAACTACTAAAAACAAGTGGAGCATTAGCTGAGCTATACTTAACGGAATGAGATATTCTGAAGAAAACTAAGAATTTTAATGGGCTGAAAAATTATGATATTTAATTTATAAGTTTCTGACTTATTTTTTGTTATATCCATCATCAAGACTTTTGAAGATTTTGTGACACTTCAAAGAACAAAAATTTTTTTACTTGACAAATAAGGGGGAAGGAAGGGGGGGGGGGCTTATTTATAATAAATTCAAATTTTTCAATAAATTATAAAAATTGAAAATTGATGTCAACTTGTCAAGTGATGATTTCATCAATACATTCCTTAGTTTATGATTTTACAAAGAAAATTATTGTGGCTGATTAATGTGCCGTGACACACAGAAGCTATTCATATAATTACAGAGGATGAAGATGGCTAAGATATTGTTTGTATTAGTCAGCTTCGTCCTCTGAAAAAATTATTTTAATATACTAATTGAGCTTTGTTGTGTCGAAGTAAAGTGGAATCTATATAAAGATGATTCTGCCAGTGCAATAGTTAAGCCACTATGGCGCGAGTGGTTATGCAACAGAGCTAATATCCATAACCTTTTTTATGAGAACGTGAGTTCGATTCCTACTAAAGACGGTTCTATCAATTACTATAACAGTGTGATGTCAATATGACAAGGATTCACCAAATGCCCACCACATTACAAGCTTCTTAGGCCAAAATAATAAGTTTGTAAAAAATTAGACATGATTATGAAATAAGAACTCGTTGAACCCACCAACACAGCAAAATGTATTGCTTTTTCCTATCATCTGTCTCGAGGTTTACTTTTTATTTTAATTTTTGTTCTATTTTTATAAATCCCATTAAAATGTTTGAGGGCAAAATTTTCTCCTGTCTGAGACGGATTTTTTTCTTGTTACGAAAAGAAGAAAATCGATTTTTAACTGACTAATCATATTAAAATTAATGAATTTAATTTCAGTTGTTCGCAAAAAATTAGTCAAATGAAAATTTTCATCACTTACCTTATATTTGATTTTGTTGCATGAGTAGCAGTAATAAATCCGAGTATTTGGGAATTAAATGTTGGTAATTTGTAAAGCTAAAAGGTTTTATTTGTGTCTTTGAGTTTTTCACAAACTTTTGCAAAAACATTTAATCACATTTTTTATTTCACTTTTTTTCACTTTTTTTCAATTGATATTTAATTCAATTTGCCTTAATAATCAACAATAATAGATTAATATTAAAACTTAAACAATTTTGTCACAAAAAACTGAATTTTAAAACAAATAATTTTCAATTTACTTTCCTGACTTTTCACTTTTTAAAAATGCACTTAAAAAATTTCATGGATTACTGTTGTGATTTTCAAATGTATTGGAAACATATCAACAATAATAGTCACAAGACTTGGAATCTGTACAGATCAATTTGATCTGTTGTGTATGGGAAGAATAGGAATTACTTCAACAGCACTCAACATTATACATATGTCTGTTTATTTTTTTGTTTCCTTGAATTCTAGCTTGCTAGACTTTTGTAATTTCTACTTTCATTCACAACAGTATTGGACGAGCTTTAATATTGAAGCACATACAGTGTTTTGTATATACATAAGCAGTAAAATCGATAACACGATGAGAAAAAGCGGCTCTATATCCTTCGCAACTTTTTTTTTTGTTGTATATTTTTGCTGTGCGGTATATACACACTCTACAATAAGCCTCTTCTCTTATTTTCTTTTTTTATTTTTCAACTGCTTGGCTTTTTCAAGTACTGTCACTTTTTTTTTACTGTAGATATGTTTTCTTAAGCATGGAATTTTTCACTTTGTAACTTATTTTTTCTTTTTGCATATTCAAAATTTTCTTCATTTATTTTACTTGATTTAAAACTTTTTTAATTGCCCACATTTTTCACTATGATATTTAATTGTTTCTCGTATTTACTGCGAATTAAATATAATTTCACGTCAAAAGCCTTCGCATAGAGTTCATACACGGAGTACGAAAGAAATATAACTGAAGCAACTGCGTCAAGTTTATTTTCACCTTCACTCTCAAAGATTTTTTCTTCTTCTCAATTTTTTTTTTAGTTTACCGAGCCGTTCATTGAGAGAATTGAGAAAACGCACGCGTGGCACTCACACATGCATGAGATACGAAGTACTGAATTAATGCTTATGCTGCAGGCAAAGTAATTTTTAACACGAACAGCTGTAAAATACTTTTAAAGAGTTTTTTACGTCTCTCAATTTTTTTAAAATCACATTTATTCTCTTAGCTGCATTTCTATGTCATAGATAAATAGCACCAATTTTATATAAATAAGAGCGACACGATATCTTTTTTTAATTTTCGTACATACAATAGGGAGAATTGAATTATAAGATAATTGAGAAATGATAAAAAATTAAAAACTTTGTCATCGAGTTTAATGTTATCAACATTTTTTTATTCTTCTCTTTTGCGTGTGTTTGAAGACGTTGCCCTAAAGGCATGTCAGTTATTCTTCTTTCTTTCATCTCATTCCTTATGGACCTCGAAAAAAAACGAATTGAATGAGATTAGGTGCTTCATTATATGCGATAAATCACAGAACTGTATTTATATAAAAAAATATGTTTTATTGTAAAAATAAGCAGCTTTTATGGGATATTTTTTTGTTTTGCTTAAAGCTGAATTGAACTGTGAATTTGATGTCAAATCATTTAGTGGCCATATATATCATTTAGGAGTCAGTTTCCATCATTTAAGGAAGTACAATCCAATTTATTTTGTTTCACGGCACACTTTAGTGGCAGTCCACGACTGAAACCGCACACAGCTTGCGGTTCGTGTAATTTTTTCTGTGGCACAAAGTTTGGACAATATTAAAGGTCTGGGATTATAAAGATTGTGACAAGGAGATGCAGGCAGGGTCAGAATATGACATTTTTTGATGGTCTTCATTAGTTTAATCATGTTTAAAAAGTGAAATTGCACAATGGACGTAACCAGAAGGAGAAGAAAGATGAAGGAATAACTAGGCTAGAGGGGGGGTCTAAGCTGTATTGTAGTTGCCAAACTCTTGATGTTCAACCTTTTTATTGATTTTCAAACTAATCTATAAAGTGTATCCCGACTTTATCCCAGCTACATCCCTGACTACAATACTTTTTCCTCTATTCTTTTATCTAAACTATTTCATAGCCATTTACATCAGTTTCCAGTGAGGAATCCTTAAAGCTTGCAGCAACCGTAAAGATGGGTCAAAAAAAGAAGAATTTTGTTAAAAATAAAAGAAGAAAAAATATGATGGAAATGATTTAAAGTATAAATTAAGTAGTGGGAGGTAAAAAGAGTAAACAGCAAAGCAGTAACATAAGAAAGCAGTTACAATCTTTTCCTTTCCTTAAAGGGATTAAATTATCCGTTCATGCTTTTCCTTCAATTTACTCTCCCACAAACACCTCATTCATCTAATTTCATTTTACTTTACTTGTGTTCATTTCCTCAAGAAAGGACTTGCAGTATCCTTCTATATTCATTTAGCCAACAGCCACTATGATGTGGTTGTAGCTTTTTTTTTTGTGAATAAAGAGAATGTAAAAAGGCAAAAAAAGGTTGATAAAAATGTAAGCTGTTGATAGAAGGAACAACGCACAATGTAAGAAATCTTTGCTTTTTAGGAAACTATGGTTAACTTATCCTTAAATTTAATTTACAACTTTCTTATGGCTCTAATACTCATGAAATTCTTTGCATTAATTTCTGAGGTCTGATGTCCTAAGTGCCATCTTTTGATTCAATACGTATAATGATGAAATAGCTCTAGAACTTGTATATTTTATTTGAAATAAATTTTTTGAGGAATATTCTATTAATAAACTGTTCCTCTAACTAGCTGCTATATAGCACCTAAGGCTATTATCTAGGGATGTCTGAAAATAAGATAAAAATCTTAGACTAAAGGTCCCCCCTTAGACCTTTAGGGGACCACCTTGAGATTGAAATTTCATTCAATTTTTTTAAAAAATATTTTGAGAACCTCCCCCCCCCCCCTTGAAAAATTCTGGATACGCCCCTGCTGTCTGTAGGCTGTTTTCTTATTACGTAATGATTTTATGAGGGAGGAAGGGGTAGTCTGAGAGGTTATGACAGTTCAAATAGGGGAGAAGGGGGGGGGGGGTTCAGAAAAACCAGATTTTGGCAACACGCAATAAGCGAATGGTCCCTAACCCCCTTGGTGGTATGAACAGAGCAACCTAAAATGCAGCCCCAAATTAAGTCAAACATCAAAAATTAAAAATTTTACAGACACTCAAATTATGAGATCATCCAATGATATGAATTTTATTTTCAGTAAATGTTTTTAGGATGAAAAAAAATGTTCAAAATACACTGTGTTTTATTTAGATCACTGAACTTCAGAGAAATGTGAACATATGGCGATTTAGCATTTTAAAAATCAGTCGGCAAAAGTAATGCGTAGAGAGAAAAATAAAAAAATTGAATAGCAGCTTCAAAAGTGACTGCAGTGAGATTGAAAATTATATTGCAGCGATGTGCCAGACATGTTTTTTTTGAGCTATTAAAGTATAAGTGTTGATTCAAAATACTAAAGCTATGAATGGTGCATTGTTAGCTGTATTCCCTCGACACTAATAGAACTTACATCTTTGATAGTTGAGTACTGTTCTCTAAAAATAGCAGAGCAGCATTACATTGTCATTTTCAAGGTACAAAATGGGTTATGACTGAACAAGCAATTAATAAAGCTTAAAAAAACCAAGAAGCATAAGATGAATTTTATAGGGCAATTGTCGTTGAAAATTGCAATTTAAACAAGCTATGTGACAAATGTCTTGACAACGCTATTGTTGAGCATATGAAAAAATAATAGCTGAAACACTGAAAATGTCAATATCACAGAGAAAAGCAAGTGAGAAAAATTTTAAAGTCGTTTTCGAGAGACTTATTCCGTTTTCCTCTATTTTTAAAAAATCCAACACAAAAAAATTTAGCGGACACCAAAAAAATATGCTTAGCAATGACTAAAGTCACTGGCCTACAAAGTTATAATTTTTTACAAAAAAAAAAAATAATAATAATACAAAGAAGCAAGAGATGCTGTGACAAAGTGAGAACTGTAGCTGAGTTTTTGTCTAAGAAAAAAAATAGCGGAAAAAAAATAATAAAAAATCCAATATAGGAGAAGAGCTCGGAAAGCGACATCGTGCAATCATATAAAAAAATTTTAATGTATCTGACAACGACTATTTAATGTTAATTAAACTTTTTTTGATTACAATGTGACGGAATGTTCCAACTTTTTCCTCATCTTCTTTTGTTTTCATTCTAATGCTCACAAATTTTACTTCTTTTGTCATTTCTTTTTCTTCTTTATTTTTAATTTCACTGTCATTAACTCGCGACAGTTTTTTTTTCTTCCATTTTTATTTTTTTCTTCTTCAACAATTATCATCGTCATCATCATCTACGGCTGTTTTATTTTAAGAATCTTTGCTGGGGAGATATGTGTGCTTGAAAATGAAAAACGAAAGATGAGATGAGACATAAAATGTGACACATACGAGTGTAATTAAATTCTGTGTATTTTATTCCCTTCATACTTACAAGGTTTTCGCTACTTCCGTTCTTAGTTTTCTTTTTAAATTCCGTCTTTAACTCCTGAATATTTGTGACAAAACACATTTGAAGATTACGAGGAAATTTTTTCGTTCAAGTGATGATTAATGTATCGGAAACGCGTTTCATTTATAAATTTTGAAATTTTTAAGCAAATTATGAAATAGTTTGGGGTCGTTCACTTATGACGTTCAACATTTAGGGGGGTTTAACAATTTGTGACACATTGTAACAGGGGAGGGAGGGGGTCAGAAAATTTGTGATTTGGATTGGACGTCACAAGGGGGGGATTGATAGTTTTGTGACATAGGACGGGGGTATAAGAATTATGATTTTGATGGACGTCATAAATGAACGGTCTCTATATATATATAGAGAGATGAATTTATGTATTTTTGAATTTTTGAGAATCGAACTCATGACTCTTTATTACTTTAAGATTACTTGCCACAGATCCATGTCTAGTTTGATGATGATAATTTCGCAATATGAACAAAAAATAATTCAAATAAAAATCAGTTTGCAAAAATATTTTAAAAATCAGTTTCAAAGAATTTAAAAACTTTATTCAAATTTCTTCAAAAAATATTTTTCAATTCTCATTTTAAACATAATTAAAACAGTGGCTTAATGGTTTCATAATCAGTACCTAATTATTACAAAAGGGGTCATTCGAAAATTTCGTCAACCTATAGAGGAGGAAAGGAATAGAAGATGTTGTGACAGTTGAATTGAAATTTTGTGGCACGAAAGAGGAGGGAGGCTCAAAAATGTTTTTCTTTTTTGCTTTATGCAATTTTCGAACGACCCCTTACCACACCGCGATATTTGGTTTAAGACTAAGTTTGAAAAGTTTTCAAGTGTCAAATCATAAGTTATGAAAATGAAGCTCACAGCCTTCTTTTGAAAGCTACAAGGAGTTATGTCATCAAACGAGTGGTTCGGATCCAACTGTTAAATGTAAGTGTCTAGGTTTATGTGCTGTGGTCTGGCGAATCCTCTTTTGTTAAACATTAGTTGCAAAACTCCATAGCGAACCTCTGTCTTTTAATTTATTAATTAAATAAGTTTTTTCAATGTCCAGCTAATTTGTCAAACAAAAAGATTAATCATTGAGTGTTCAGGTTTGGTTAACAAATTGATTATTTATTAGCAAAAAAAAAATCGTAAAATTCCAAATTAATACAGTAAAATCATTAATTGTTAATCATCTTCGATAGCCTAAATTTATGAATCGTAGTGTGAGCAAAGAAACATATGTGTGATGATGTAGGCGTTTTAAAAATATAACATATGGAAATTGAATGAAAAATATTCTTATTCTAAAGAGATATGATGCAATGAGGCAATATGTTAAATAATGTAAATGTAAAAACGATCAACGATATATGACTTTCAAAAAAGATTTTTTTTATGTTGAAGCTATTGAAAAATTTGTATGGATCATGAATTCTGATACTCATGAAAATTCAATGACTTCTTCGAATATATATTTTACGATTTCATCATTTAAATTATTATTGGATGCAAAATTAAAATTTTTATGAAAAGAACATACAGTTTTCAACATTTGAAATTGAATGATATCGCTCAGTCATTAAAAAATGTAAGTAAGAAATTAAATCTCATGATTTAAAAACGCCCACGTGAAATGAATATATTTTTTCTAGTGTAAACATATTTTAACTTATTTTATTCAAAAAAACATGCCTTTGTTTCTGAAATATGAAAAGTTATCAGAATAATCAATTGTCATTGCTTCTTTTAAGGCTTTAAAGCAGTGTTGTCCAAACTGTGTTCTGTGGCACACTTAAGACATCTTTAGTTGTGCCATGAAAAAATATCTAAAGTCAAACTGTGCCGTGACTGAAAAAAGTATGGACAGCACTGCTTTAAAGTAACGATATTGAAGTTACAAAAGTCTTTAAAATTTACTAACTTACCAAGCTGTGGTGTCTGAGCAAAATTGGATCTTGAGTATCAAACCATATATAGAGGAATCTGCCAGTGCGAGAGTAAGGAATCTATGGCGCGAGTGATTAAACAACAGACTGCATATTTCTAATCCTCAATTATAAGAATGTGTGTTCGATTCCCAGCAGAAACTGATCGCTCAATCTAAGCCATATAATGAAAATTTACATGTTTGAACATGTCTTTGCTTTGCTCTTTAAAAGCAACTAATTCTGAAATTATCCTAGAAAGAATAAGCCCCTCAACAAAGATTGTCTTAAGAATATCACAATTTATTTATTCTACACATAAAAGTAAAGTAAATATGTTAGTAATTCTATCGAATTGAACGGATAAACAGTGCGAACAGTAGCATGCATCATTAGAGGTTCTTAATTAAACGGTAATTTAAACTTGATTATTCAATAGAATAAATATGCCTTAGGTTAAGTCTGTCTTGTAATCCCTAAACAATATCAACGTGTTTGCTGGGGGTTTGATTGTATTTATTCCCATTAAAAATTCAAAGCATGTTTATTTCTCCAGCTCTCTTATTTTTATTTCTTTGATTCTTCATACATTTTATTCTATTTTTAGGATCGAATGGAACAGACATTTATGTTTTGTACAAATGTTTTCTTTTTTTCTTCCCTTTTTCTTCATCATAATATATTTTTTTTTGTTGTTTTGAGATTTGACATTTAACATCCGCACATTATGAGCATTTTATCATTCTTACATTTACATACATACATGCATGTTAGTATATGGTTTAAATAAATTAATATAGCTCATGTATTAATTATAAACAAATATATGAAATTTGATTATATGCCTATGAATTATAAAAATTATTGTAGCTTTGTAGATTGTCAAAATTATTTAAGATTTAAATCTAAAAAAACTATATTAAAGTCTTACACTTAAATCCTTGTTGGAAACAAATGAACATGAAATTCAAATGTGTACATAGATTTATTGATATCAATCTTCATTGTAAACAATATAAAAAATTTGAAGTTTTCATGCTCACTATTCACCTGTGACAGAATCGACACAATGCTTCATATTCCCTGTAGATATTGTCGATTAAATAGATCAATATTTAGATAATTGTTATGCTATCTGCTTTCGATGTGATCGGCAGAATACATTCAAAAATCGAAATGGAAACCAGTATAGATGTGGTCACGAGTTGCCGACGGAAGTGCATTTTTCGCGCACAGTAAAAATTGGGGTTATAAGGACAGACTCACAAACAGACTCACAGACAAGGCGTAAAAACTCAAGATCAGAGTTTACAGATCTGCCATTTCCCTGTCGTTTGTCATTGTCTATCAACAGGCATTGACTGTGACAGATCTGTCAAACCTGTTTACAGGGAGTGTTTTTGACTTATCTCCCTCCTGTGCCTATTGAAAAGTGACCTGTCTCGCAACTCTGCTCAGGATTATGCCTGAAATATTCCAAAAATCCTGAGCCAATAAACATTCCGGGATTTGAGAAGGATATCAAATTTTCATGTTTATTGGCTCAGGGATTTTTGAGATTTTTTCAAAATTAATCCTGAATTTTCATACCTTGCTCACAGACATGCAGACAAAACTCAATCAAAAGCGTCTCCTTTCTTCATAAAGATGTCTCAAAAATAACCCAGTTCGTTGAAATATCTATGGTGTTCCTCCATGTCTTTGTATGTATGTAAAATTAATTGCTTTGTTTCATTCATCCCAGGATCTCTAAAGCGGGTGTAAAAATTATTTTCACAAAAAAAATCCGCATTCATCATTTTTCATCGTGTTTTTTCACCACAATTTAGAACTATAATAATTTTGAGGGAAGTTACATTTTGTCTGTCATGCTTTACGGGATATTCTTCTAATTATCTGTGCTTAAACACACTCCGTCCATTAATTTGATTCTCTTTAAAAAAAAACATCCACTATGTCATGATTCCAAGTATTATGTTAAAAACACTTAAGCACGCATGTTATATTGCTTTATGTATAGGGTGACTATATTGGGATTGAACAATTTTTTGAAAGGAGGGAACATTTGAGGTTATGTAGGATTTTTTCTCAAAAACCCTAGCACATCAAAGACATTTGCTTGTTCTGGCCTTCCTCTGAATGTAGTCTTTTCTGGTCATCCCACATAATATGTATGTAAAATGCTATCTTGCAAAAAATTCATGCTTAACGAGTTCGAGTTAAAAATCGAAAAAGGAACAAAGAGGAAAATTCCTCCTCAACAAGCGAATCAAGTACATATAAGAAAAATAGTATGGAGGAAAAATTTTTCATAAAGAGCTGGTGAGATATATCTGAATAATTAGAATGTCATTATTGTTCAAGTGCTGTCTCAGTGCTAACTTTACATTTTTAAATTGTTTTAATGAATGTAAAAAAAAAATTGTTTTGTTTGATTGATGTCTGAAGTGAATTTTCACAATCAAAATGTACTTCCAGGCGAGTAGACATGCAGGAAATCAGGAAGACAAATGTGAAAATGTATATACTGATTTAATTGATTAAATAGGGGCGTTGTGCTGCTAATGATAGCTTAATCAGTAAGGATTCACCGAAGCCACAGCACTCAATGCTAGACCAACAGTTTATAGTGAGATTCGAGACATTGTTTTGAAGGCATTGCTGTCTATAGCTTACAAGGAAAGGCTATGAGTGACTTTTGCAGTGTTATTAGGTTTAAATAAGCAGCAAGCGAAAGAATTTCGAAACTGAGTCTTGAATGGAAAATTGCTATCTCAGTATTGCCATAATTAGGTACCGTACGTAAGCAAACTATTCTCATCAAGCCACTTCAGCTCACGAAAAGCTGTAAAAACAACATTTTTGTAATAATTTTCAATTCAAAGCAATCGAAGACATGTATTGACATAATTGAAGCAATTGATTGCATAGAAGATAAAGCAGATTTATTTAATCGTCATATGGTTGATTACTATTTATCAGGAACTGGCTATCCATCCACAATATAGAATGAGAGGTAATTAGCTTTAATGCTAGTAATTAATTTTATATAGATAACGAGAATGTTTTTATGACTGTTAATAATTACAAGTCGATTACTAGCTAATACTGAAATTGATGAAAAGAATAGAATCGTTTTAAGCTGGATCTGACAGTGATTAATTTATTTTGATTTTTGCGAATTTTATACAATGACCGTACATAAGAGTAGCATTGAAAATCATATTCTTGATATTAATATGGGTTTTGAATTTGACATGATTAAAGCAAGAACTTCAATGCTACTTTTTTATGATGTTAAGTTGGCCGTTAAATCTTTTAAATATAATTTTAAAAGACTTTATAGCTAACCTATAGTCTGAATCCTCATAGATAGAATTGCATTTAGGGTTTGGAATACACAAAAAGGCACTGCTAGCTTACATAAGCTGTACCGCCCCTTTAGAGTCAACTTTAGAATTCCAATGTCCTTAATAAATTCAACCAAGTCCAAATAGCTTGTATAGAGTCTAATTCCAGTTAAAGACTTGTTAATTATATTTCAATGTTCTTTATTTGTATTCTTTCGTTATTCCCTTTTTGAACTACCTAATTTGAAATCCATTTTACCGTTCTTTCTATTTTCGTTGTTTCGGATCCCTACAGCTTGTATAGTTGCTTTCTAATGCGGAACCCTTTTCGTCCATAAGGTTTACTATTAATTTAATAAAAACAAAAATTTAAAATTTAAAAATCTATTTAAAAATCAATTTTATCTAATCAATTAGAAATCTATTTTCTTATCATTTTTCATATCATAGCTTTTGGCTTATCTACACAAAAAGACAACACTGGAGCAAGTGTTTATTATAAGTAACCGATAAATCACGAAAACCTTATCAGTTTTATTTTGCTGGTGGTTTTGTAAAGTTCAATTTTAATTTATAAAGAAATAATGCCAAAATTTCTCCGTCCGCAAAGTTTAAAGTATCCTCAAGTTTACGGAAATTTTCGTACGAGAAACAAAAATGGTGATAAGCTAACTGACTATTTGATTCAAGACCTGCCAGAAGAATATTTTGATGTTGCATTAGACTTGCTAGTAAAAGAACATTTAAGAGACGAGTTGCTTCATGAGTCGCGTGGTGTTTTAAAAAATTCTGAAGCTGTAAAGGAAGCTTATAAGGACTGGCGGAAAAAGCTGAAAAATAGATTTTCAATTGCTTGTTTTACTTGTGAAGGAACAGATCTTGTTGGAGTAAATGTACTTGGAGTTATTTCAAATGATGATGATGATGAAATTGATGATGTAAGTCAGCCTGTTGATCTCCTTTATCTTAAACTTATTATTTTTTATTATTTTTATTTTTAGCACCAAACTTCAGAGTTCAAAGATGTTATGGGAGCTTTAGACTATATTGGCATGCAACATAATGTTTTTGAAAAATATAATATTGATAAATTTTTAACAGACTATGGACTTGTCATAAATCGTGATTATAGGCAGCGAGGGATAGCAGGTGAATTTATGAAGGCAAGAATTCAAGTTGCCAAAGCTCTTGACTTAAAAGTTGTATCGTCAGTGTTCACAGCTGTTGGATCACAAAAAGCTGCTGAAAAGGTCGGATTTAAGGAATCATTTTCGATTTCTTTTGAGGAACTTGAGAAAGTTTTTCCACAGTTTGATTTTTCAAAGACCCCCGCTAACGATGTTAAAATATTAGATTATAAAATCAAGGAACAATCTTAAGAATGTCGATTTAAATAAATTACAATTTTTTTGTTGAATAAAACTGAATTAAATTACGAATAAAGATGATTTTTTGATTAAGAGATTGGGAATCGTACTCATGTCATCAAAGAAACTAGATTTAATTAGGTACACAATAGATTTTCAATTAACACCTTTATATAGCTTGACTCACAACTTATCGTCTCCCCTCAATAAATAAAGTCTGACTACATCTCTTTAAATTTAAAATAATTATCACATCAATAAGTTTCACTAGATATATGTGATAAAAAAAAAACATTACTTTGTATTCGTAATCTTATCAAAATTTGACACAGCTTTACAATTTTAACACAAAGTTATCACAATACTGATAAACTAAAAATAAACGTCAATAAGTTCAATGCTTGAGTTTTATATGACAGATTTATTGATAGATTATTAAAAAAAGAAAGAAATTTTTATATCACCAGGGGCGTAGGTTGAAATTGTTGTGTTTTTAGATTCTAATGGTCCTTAATTAATTAAGCTACAAAAAAGGGAATTTTTAAAATCAAAAACATTTAAAAAATTGGTATTTTTGGCTACATTAGAGGTTTAGCAAGTGTCAAAACGTGACATTGACAACAAGCTTAAAAAAGATGCTAGGGGCACTTTTTAATTTAACGCCAGCATAGGGGTCGTTCATGTATTACGTAACAATTGTAGAGGGGGACTCTGAGTTTTTGTGACAGTTTAAACAAAAGAAATTTTTTCGATACAAAGTTTGTGACAAAAGTCTAAAAATCTAGTTTTGTGCGTTACGTAATAAGTGAACGGCCCTTCCAAAAATCCTCGCTACTTCCCTAACCGAACTCAATTTATCTATCAGTAATTGAAGAAGCTTAGCAGTAGTTTAAGTCATTTTGCAAGTTGCTCCTCATTACTTTTACCAAAGTTTCCGAAGTTATTAATTTCATCAAGCTTTTTGATTTTGTGGGACGAATCCAAATATTTAATTCACAAAACTGTATTATTGATTGGCACATTGAAGAGTATAACAAAAATCTGTGTCATGTCTATTTTAATTTTCACTGATATGTTATACAATCACTAGCCGGGATTTTATATTGTCCATAATAATAAAGTTTGATTTTTGAAGATTTTTGTTTTATTTCGCATTCAGCATCCATAAAGTCAAGACAGTAAATTTTGATGATGCACTCGGTATACTTAAGTTTTGCTTTTAAAATTTCAATATTAATTATTGTTTCACAATTTAATGAATCGAACGCAAAACGTAAGTTCTGTGCTGTACTTTAAGTTATCTAAAATAAATTTTTGTGTTTTTTCAGCATTTATAAATCCATTTAATATAGCAATTAAGACTAATTTTGCTGAGGATGGAAATATATGTGAGTATCAAGTGTAAAATTCATTGTGCTATTTTATTTATATATAGTTTTTGTTTTGTGTCAAAATCATGAAATTCATACTAAATGAGGAAAATAAGAAGTGATTAAAGTTTCATAGTTTCAAATTTTTATGTAACCATTTTATGCTACTCTTGGGTGTCTTTATAATGAGAACTTTAAAGCTCTTTTATCAGGGCTCTTACAAATTTTATGAATAAACTTAATTTTGCATATAGTGTTTGGGAGGGGGGGGGGGGGGGGGTGCTGAGATTTTTTACATTTTAGCAATTTGTGTTGCCCCCAATAAAATAGATTTTGACTCTGATGTGCAGCTCCCTCAAACTTTTTTGGTCCACGGCACATCTAGAAATCCATTCCTGAACGCAAGTGTGCCCCGGCACTTGGTTTGAGAGCAACTCACGAATAGCACAAGTCGGTTAATTGAATAGAATTCCAGCAACAAGCAGGCATGATTCTGGCATCAATTTAAATCCAGCACCATGCCAGAGTCACACCAAGTTTGTGCCGGATTTCTGATCAATTAACTGACTTGTGCCATTCGGGGCTGTACTATAAGATAAACAAAAATATTAAGAATTTAAATTTTTCTTTTTCAGTGACTTTTGTGTATCCAAAAAAATCTTATCAATTTTCATTCAAAATGAACTCAGAAGAGATTAGCAGCAACAATTTCGATTTCTCTGGATTTATCTCATTTTTATTCCAAAAAATTGGACGGAAATTGAGTTTTTTAAATCCATTTAAACTTTCATCTTCATTACCTACAACCACAGAGTCGAGATTGGATTTTAGTAATGAAGTTACAGACGATTACGAATCTTCAAGTGAAAAGGTGCCTTCTTCACCAGAAGAAGAGGATAATTCATCAAATGAAGCTTCTGAATCACCAGATGAAAATGAAAATAGTTCAACTGAAAATATTGGTTCTACAACTGAGAGTGAGGCGACAACTAGGAGTGGAAGTATTAGCTATTTACCTCCCATAAGCATACCTTCATCTTTATATGAGCTGCCAAAGCTAGATTGATCTCAAAAAACCTTGGCACGAATCTTCATCCTTTCTCTTTTTCGATAAATTTCGCAAACATTTTGGGCCATTTTTTCATTTCGTTTCTCTAGACTCCATTACCAAAATTTTAATGTGATTTTTTTTTTGGGTTTGAACTGAATATTTAGTTATCACATCGTCTCAAAGATGTGCTATTTTAATCAATGCCTTTCACTATTAAAACATAATTTTACGAATAAATGTGTGACACTTTATTTGTACAGATATAAAAAAATACTAAGAAATTTGTATTAATAAAATAAAATTTTCAAAAATTTATTATATTGTCATATAGGGGTCATTCATAAATGATGTCCAAAATATTGGAAATTCTGTCTCTGGATGACAGTTTAATAATTAGTATGAAAATACTAAAATAACTTTTTATATAATTTTATTGCAGATTGATAGCGTTTTAGAAATTCTGATGAACGTCATTTATGAATAGCCCCTCATATCTTAATTTGAATTAAAGCATGATACAAACAACACTGCATTAAATATCAAAAATAACAATTTTCGACACTGTTTTATCTAAACAATATGGATTTAAAAGGATTTATGGATTTTTTAAATGTTTGCGTCAAAATAGGAACCGATAAGATTTTATCGATAGAATCAAAATTTATTAATTAACCTAATGGGAATCCTAAATTTAATGGAATTTTACTTATGTCAGCACCATGAGGCACTGAGCCAGATGCACTATAGCTTTTACTCTCTGCAACACTAAATTGGAATCCATGTGGATGACCATAAGATCCAGTGTTTGTTGATGCCCCTGATGATGCTGATGCACCAGATCCACCAAAACCTTGACCACCAAAGCTTCCAGTATTAGCAGATGCTCCACTACCCGTACCTGAATTTCCTGAACCTCCTTGATTGAAACTACTTGACATTGATGACGAAGATGTTCCTTGTAATCCACCTGGACCGGTGAATTGATGAGTACCAGCATTTGTTTGTGAGCCTGAGATACTTCCATCATTTCCAATGTGAGTTGATTGACCTTGACTTGTTGACTGTGAGCCCATTACACCACCTTCATTAAATTGAACTGTGTTGGTATTTGCTGCACTATTTGATGTTCCAAATTCATTCTTGTTATGTGATGCTGCACTTCCAAGAGTTTCAACACGTTCACGATCTTTTTCCTTAATTACATTCACATTGGTACCTGCATTTGATGTCTGTAAATTTCCTTTATTATCAAAATTAGCTGACTGACTTTGAGCAGCATTTTGTTCTTTATATCCATCAGCAGTATGTTGACTTGATTGTTGAGTATTGGCTGCTCCTAATTGACCAGATGAGCCATCAGTAGCTAAATTAGCAGATATACTTGATCCACCAGTATTTTGGAATGAACCTAATTCATTTTGAACATTTGACGAGTGAGTGTTGGCACCGGCATTTTGATTAAAACCTCCAGCTACATTTTGTGCTTGTCCTTGAGCATTTGTGGCACTTCCACCAAACTGTGGTTGAGATGAAATTGGTGGCTTGTTTGGTGGTCTTTGAGGTCTACCAGGAGGGGGTCTTAAATGTGCTGGCACGTATTCTTGTTCATTTGTTGGAAAATGGAAGCCACCTTGTATGATTCTTCCAGCAACATCAGCACCTTGTCTTAAAGCATTAATACCTTGTCCTATAACTCTTTTACCGATTGCACCTAAGAATCTATTATCAATTCCTTCAACTTCAGAATCAGTGCTTTGCTCAGGCATTTCAGCTGTTTCAGGAACAGTTTCTCTTCTTTGTCTAGTAATAGGTTTCTCATCAACGCGAACATCAAAATCGTAATCGAATCCATTATTATTTGGTGATTGAGTAGATACTTGGTCTTGAGAGTTCTTGTCAAGAATATTAAGCAACTCATCAAGATCATCTCCATTTTCTTGAGGTGGAGGTGGATTGATAACTGGTGGATTTGGCCTATTAAGATTATTTGGTGGATTAGGCCTGTTGTTATTCGGATTAGGTGGGGGAGGTGGAATTCCGATGTCAGGTTTAGGTGTAGGTCTTACAGGTGGTGCAACTGGTTGGACAGGAGGAGGATTTATATTTGGTTGATTTTGACCTTGATTATTATTAGGAGGTTGTGGTCTGTTTTGATTTGGTCTGTTGGGATTTGGTCTGTTAGGATTTGGTCTATTATTAGGTGGTTTTCCTCCCTGTCCAAATTGTCCTTGATTGGGATTTCCAAATTGTCCTTGATTGGGATTCCCAAATTGTCCTTGATTGGGATTTCCAAATTGTCCTTGATTGGGATTTCCAAATTGTCCTTGATTGGGATTCCCAAATTGTCCTTGATTTGGATTTCCAAATTGTCCTGGATATTGTGGATTATACTGTCCTGGGAACTGCCCTGGACGAAAAACTTGCCCAAACACACTATTTGCTTGGCTTGCTACTTGATTTGCCACTTGATTGACAAACTGTGAACCTTGTTGAAGAACCCCCCCTACTATCTGTTGATAAGCTTGATAAGGGTTAAAACCTATAGGATATTGGCCAACGCCATAATTTCCACTCACTGATCCTAGTTGACCTCCAGGAAATAATCCAGGGTTTTGTCGTCCATATTGTGGTGCTAAAATAATAAATTAAATTAATTTTAAGTAATGCCTGTGTGTTTGTGTGTGTAACAAAAATTTCCTAAACAATTTTTAAACTTCAATAGGGTCAACGAAAATGTTATCATTGAATTACAAAAAAAAAATATACTGCCTTACTCATCAGTAATGTAAGAACATATAGAGTAGTAAACAAATATTTGTTTTTTTTTCTCATCACATTATTTTTCTTAAACATTTTAAACAAAAATTCTACATCAATTCTAGGAACTAGTTTTTTTTATTGTTTATTTTTTTATTATTATTTTAGCAATAATAAATAATTTGTATTTAAGTCTGTATTTCAAACATACTTCTGAGATCTTTAAAATAATGATATGATAATTATTTAATTTTTGAGTGATTTTAGTTTGGGGAAGTTCGCTTATGACGTAAATAGAAAATGAGATTTTTTTTATGTACCCCCCCCCCCCCCCCCCCTTCAGTAGATCAAAAATTTTTTATATAATTTCTTTCAATTAAATTGAAAGACGTCATATGTAAATGACCCCTTTCTGATTTTTATAAAAAATATTCTAAAGGCTAAGTGACTTCTTGATCTATTGTCAATAGATAAAGCAAAAACAAGGCAAGATAATGCTTCCAAAAAATAGTTTCTTTGGTAAATTGATATTTTTTTCATCCGTGTTATTACGTTTCAATGCTATTTTCGATGTCTTCATTTTAAAAACAGGTTTCAAGGTTGTTAAAGTTCAACATTTTTTTGTTGTGTTGTATTGAAAGATTAATAAAATACCATTGACATATTTAAATAGAATTGTTTAAAAAATCTTTTCACATTTAATAAATAATCAATCATAAATTCATTGAAGTACATTTACCTGCAGCGACAAGATACAATGTTAAAATTTTGAAAATTAATTTTTTAAACATTTTGATTGATTTTAAATTTTCACTTTATTTTCTATTTAAAATATGCACATTTTTTTAAATTAAAATTTGATTCTTTTTGTCAATTTCTTTGCTGTTGATCACAATTTTATTTATTTATGATGACGTGTGCCTATCTTTTTGCACTTTAAATCTCAAACTGCTCATCGGCGACTGAAGTTGAAAACAAAAAATGAATAACTTATAAGCAACTTGTATATTAACTGCTCATTCTTTAAAGAAGGCTCTCTTCATTTTTGTAAACTGTACTCTTCAGAGCAAAAATTTTCTGTCATATACTCATCTTTCTTTTCATGATAGTGAAATGTCCAGATTGGGAATTAATTTTTTTTTTCAAGTTAGAGCTCATTTCTTAATCACAGGAATAATTTCACGATTTCGTTTTGGTGTCAAAATAGAGATTATAACGGGAGAGACTAAAAAATTTCTAATAAAGTCCAAAATTTTTCATTTATGCTAGGAAATAGCCCTAGCCCTAGAAATTATATTGTTAAAACGATATCTTTGAGCAAATCTTAAATAATTAGGTTTTTTTTTCAAGGTCAATTTCTAGGGCTCCCCGGGTCCCCTTGCATTAGAAATCGATGGACAACACTTTATTTGCTTAGATAAAAATGACTTTAACTAAGGTATTGTACCTTGAGCTGTTCTAGAAGTCAGCTCTTAAGAATAAACTTGCTTAAAAATCTCAATTGAAAGTGACCATCACAAATTTAATATTCACAATTGACATTGTTAAGAGAAGCATTGAAGCGTTCTAAATGAATCAAATAGCTTCTGCAAACTCTTGCTCATTTTTTAAAAGTTTTTTGTACAGAAGTATTGTGTAAAATATGAAAATTAAGTGTATACGTAAATATGACATAAAATACAGCTACATAAAAAAAGATCTTGTAAAATCTCAAGTAAAATCTCAAGGGGGAAACAACTAGGTTTGAAAATTAAAGAAATTAAAAGTTTTTTAAAGTTTAAGTTCTCAACAAGTTAACAATTATGAATTTTATTATAAACAGATTATTTAAGCCTTATCCATCACAAACAGGTATCCCATTCTTGAGTGGAATACTGAGTAAATTACTAGACTTAAGGACGACCAATGACAATTCTTTAGGAACCTTCTTATTCAACATCAAATTAACAACACCAAATTCATCTTAATACTTTCAAATATGTTTCTGCGAGGCTAGTCGAAAATGTTTTCTAACAAGTGGTTATCTCCCTGAACAATCATCACTTTACTATGGTAAAACCCCAGTTTCTTAATCAATATGCAATGTTATATACTTGACAAGATATGCTTGATTCCCTGGTTGAGTCTGAAATGATTTTGTCGTAGTTTCAACATTCATAGAATTTGATTTAATCTTTATTAACATTTCTAAAAGGTTTAAGAAAGGTTTGATCTGATGTTCCTTGATGTAATTGTTCATTAACGCAGTGTTGATAGTATATAGTAACTTGATACTTAGCATTTGATTTTAAAAAGGTTGATCAAGCGTAGGCAATTTTAAATCATCTGTATTATTGTATCTGTAGATCTCCCTATAACTGCCATAAGTATACACTAATGTAAATCAAGTCTGGTTTGATGAGAATCGAACCCGCGACTTCAAAAGAGGCGATCTCTGTCCACTCGATCAGGTACTTATCTCACTTCGGCTATCCGTCACACACATACAACCAGTTTCACTGCAAGCTCTTTTCCAGGCCTATCTCCTACAGATATGTTCTTCGAACCATATCTACAGTATCAACACTGCATTAACCTTTCTTACTTCGATAGCCGTATAGATTAATTGCAGTCAATGGCTTTCCTTGAGATGGCGCCTGAAGCTGACTTAGTCATCGATGGTTACCACTAGCCAATTAATTCCTGACAATCTCAAGTGCAATGTTGTTTTTGCAAACTGGTTCTTTCCAAGAGCTTTTTAACTGCCCACGTACTTTTTTGTCATCTGCAAACTCAGTGAATGTTAAAAGTTTGCTAAATTGCAATCTGATTGAGGATTAGAAATTATTTGATTTCTTAAGAACTATAAAGTCATGTGTAAGTATTGGTTTATTGGGCAACAAATGTTTTCATCAATTATGTACACTTTTCGGCAATTGGCAGACGGTAGCCAGCGATAGAGCTGGTTTTAGGATGGATCACAATTGATCTGTACGACCAGCGAAGTAAGTAAGTATGTACAATTTTTAAAAGAGTCTGTCGCGACATATGAGACAGCATCTGGGTTTGAAAATTCCAGTTTGCAATGGCATCATTTATGAACACCTCCAACAAAAAAAAAATCAAGGAACTCTAAATTGCTTTCTTAACATCTTACAAACCTCTGTAGCTTCACACAAAGCTTGACATTTAGGATTATTAAAATCATTATGCCAGTAAAAAATATTAAAATGGATATTATTTTTTTTTAACAAATATGAATGCATAGAATTTCAAATTTTGTTTTATGCTTACACCACCATTCTCTTCCTTTTTGTGAATTCACATCACTTTTGCTACGTAAAATATTAATTTTTATCTTTTCGTTTTAATAAATGTCACGTTTAATGATGCTAGTAATTGAAAATTATGTAGAGATTTTTTACTGCTGCTACTGCTAGGTCCTTAAAAAAAAGATGTAGAGAAAGGTTAAAATTGCTAGGATAAGAATACGTAATGTGAATAATGTTAAACTTCATATGATAAAAACTACGTCAATTTCATTTTCTTAACATAGTTGGAACTGCATCAGCGGATGGAAAATAATAATAATAAGAACAACTTTAAGTTATAAGCATTTTCATAAATACAAATTATGAAAATAAAAAAAAATTTATATGAACGGTGAACAACATAATTCTTTAGTTATTTTCCATAAAGCGCTTATGAAAATCATATTCAAATAGTTTTATTATGCATGAAAAGAAGTACATTGTTGTAGAATTATGCAAAAAAAATATTTCAGCGTTCCTCATTTTTTTTTGAATATATTCTTTGCGAAGGAAAAAATTTTCATATTCTATATTTGCAAAAATTATGCTTACAGAAGTGTGCATAAGCTTTATTAAATTCATGTCCATCAGGAAGGAAATTCTACATTTTTTTTGTTTCATATTCATAAATTTCATTGTTTGTTTTCATAAGCATTTATAAGTTTTTATTCACTTAATATATCCATTGAGTACTTTTTTGGTATTCTAAAATACTTTTACAAATGTGATATTTCAAGTGCTTAAGTGTGACGTAATCAAAATTTAATTTAATATTTCAAAATTAATATATTTTTATAAGGAATCTTATTTTTTGTGGATGTGATAAATTTATGCTTTCAATTAACATTCTTTCACATATATTACTTTTCATGTAATTATATTATATTAGATATTACATTTTCTTCTACAGAACTTCCATTTTGTTTACATTCATATTTTACCTTTTTTTTCTCTCTACTTTCTAAGAGGTGATGTAACGTGTAGAATGTAATGTTATTGTCATGAAAGGTTATAAAAAATGGATAATAAATTTTTACACATAATGTTATTAGATTGCTCCTTATATAGCTTATTCAGTAAATTTTATTTTTCTTTTCACGCTCAATAGCTTTGAGATATTTTCATGCTCTTTCAACAAGAAAAAGAACAATTAGGAGAGAGACGAAGGAAAAATTTGTAAGAAAGTAAAAATAAAAATATTTTAAAAAAAAGTCTTTTTTAAATATAAATTCCTAAAATGATAAAGATGAAAAAATTTCATTTCAAGGTTCTCATTAGAATTTAGGAGATATTAAAGGTTTTGGTGGAACTGTCAAGTAAAAGGGGGTTGTTCAATTATGAAGTCCGAAAATAAAGCTTACCTCAAGAAATTCTTTTGCTCTAGAGCTCTCTACTCCTCCTCGCTCCATTTTACAACATTTTTGAACAACCCCTTAACTTCTTCTATACTGGGGGTCCTCGATTTGGATAGGTGTTTTGTTCCAAAAAAATCCTATTCAAATCGAATCTACTCAAATCGAATTATTTACTTTTTGTATGAAAAATGTCCGTTATAAATTTTTTTTAAATTTTCTATTCATTAATTCTCGTTACTCAAATCGAATCTACTCAAATCGAGGACCTATAGTAAATCGAAATCGCTACACTTTTCAAAAACGAGGTCCTCCAATTGAATAGATTAGATTCGATGGAATTATTGTACAACAAACACCCCCTCTAGTCATGGATCTTTCCATGCTTACTTGCTGGAATCATGTTCCAAAGTGGAGCTTAGAATACAACAAAAGGCCTTTCATCTTACTAGATCCCCTTCATAAGTATTGCAATTATTTTGGTTTTTAAAGACTTTAAAGTTTTGAATTAAAACCTCTACTCGGGAGGGGGGGTCTGAAAGAAAAAGTACTTCGAATAACCACTCTTTATTACTGTGATTGAAAAATTCAAATTTATCTCCACTAAGTTCTACATATATTCAAATTTGAATTAAGAAAATTTTGCCAGATTTATCAACACTGCTAAAGCAATAAAAGTGGTGAGATTTTTTTTCTCCCAAAACTTAAAATTGAAAGTTTATTTTTAATTAATTTTCCATTTGTTCTATTCTTTTGTATTTTGGCCTTATACGAACAGAAACAAAAAATTCTAATTATAAAAACGTGTATTATCTGACATTATCATAATTCAGTGTCAAAACAAGAATTTTTATAGTATCACAGCATTTCTAGACTCAATTAAAGATAATACGAACAAAAATTAGCAAAATTAAAAAGAAGAAGCTTTTTTTGACTCAGCCTGGTCTATGCTTAGTTATGCTTCAGTTTTAATTAGATATGCAAATTTGTTTTAAACACAATCACAATGATTATGCATTAGCTTTTGATAAAACTTCCATTATAAAATAAGTCACCAGATATAGACCTAACCTCAAATGACGATTGTTTTAAAGAATAAATTGCGAAATTGCTAGTATTAGTGTTAATTAATTCTCTGGAATTAAACCTAAGTTTAGGTATTAATACTTACTTCGCTGGTCGGACAGATCAGTTGTGATCCATGACCTCCCTTATTCGTCCCCTAAAACTAGTTCAAACGATGATACTGTCTGTCAATTGCCGATTCCAAATGCAACACTGTCTCTATTAACAGCCTCTTCCCATGAGTTCTTTGGCCTTCCACGTGATCTCTTGAAGTTTAGGTTTAGAAGACGTTTATATGATACACAAAAAGGCTTCGTCCTCGAATGACGTCTGTGAAAAATCAGACACTTTAATTGCTAGTCTCAAAATCTCAAACCTTACTCCCTCTGTCATAAGTTAATGACCGCCAATCAAGTTCTTTTGATCACCACATTGACATGACAATCATTAAACAGTTACAAATTCTTGTTTAACAGCACAACTAAGATTGAACATTATAATGTATGGCAAATTGAAAATAATTACGGTGAAATTCTTTGTTTCAGAACAAGTTCTTTAACGTCCATCAATCAGAACCTGTTTTGATGTATGCAGAATATTTTTTACAATGCCATTTAATGTTCCATGAGTTGTAATGGCATATATGAAAAAGAGAGCATTTTAAATCTTTTAAAAATAATTACAAAATGATTTTCTCACTTTTTATAAAAGGAAACTAATAATTAAATCTAAAAAGTCTTAAAAAGACTTAATTTTCATTGTGAATCATTCAATATTTTCATTTCACTTAACATAAATGTTTTAATTTGCCAGATCAATTGTAGAATAATTAAATTAGTCAACCTCAATTTCACTTGCGAAAAGAAAGAGATTGAAAAGAAACAAATGTTTGATTTCTGTCAAATAGGAGATTGCATAAAAGCAATCAAAGAGCATGACATCCAATTAATTGTACACACAATTGAAGCGAGCGGGACAAAAAAAAAAGTATATATACGTAACACAATAAGAGATAAATTGAAAACAATTGATTTTTTTAAATGGTCTTGCAAGCATTAAAAGGAGAAGCAGCAGAAATTGTATTTTAATAAAAAGAAGAGGAAATCAGAGAGAAAGGTAAACACCATCATGCTTCACGGACCGCGAAATCACTTGTTAAACGCATGATGTGTTGTGATACTTTTCATTGTTCTGAGAAATAAAATATGCAAAAGTGAAACATGAAATTCTTGTCTTGGTCAATAAGTCAGCTTAAATTGATTAGAATTAATGAATGCTTTAAAGATAAATTATAAATTATGTAGATAAATGTAACTAATTTTAGACTAAGACTTTAATACATAATCATTATATACCGAGCTCTTTTTTACATGATCAAAGTCAGAAACATCCGAACCCTCCCACTCGAAGATTTTTTTAATAAAAAAGGATGCGAATAAAATTTGAACAAACAATGAAAGCATAAATATTTGACTGACTCAAGTTTTTTTTTTGGATTTAAAAAATCTTTGTTTTAATTTAATAATTTATAATTCTCTAATTTATAATTCTACTTTGGTAATCCAAGGGCATTAAATAATATCGATCCACTACAATATGGTGTTAATAAAATTAATCTGGAACTAGGATAGGGTAGTCCTTGAAATCGGGCCCTAAAATATTATATCCAGTAGGGTAAGTTGTTCAACTCTAAAATCCACCTTTTTAATTTTTTTTCAGTTATCTAAAGCATTTTTTAAAAAAAAGTTTAAAACCCCCTCAAACTAGTGTATTGGGTAGAAACCCAATGCGGCCATATTCACACCGTACCATCAAAAGTCTTATGGATAGACCAAGATTTGCTCAGCATAGGTTTGAAGGTATAAAGCTAGCGAGTCATCATAAGTTGTTGGTGGTGCTCAGCATAAGTTTGTTTGCTTGCTTACAGAAAGCGTATTTTGCGATTTTCTCAGCAATGCCTCAATCAATTTGAAATCTTTTTTTTGCAAAAGATGTAAAATTTCAGGCACAACCTTTTCATCTCTGATCATTTTAAGCTGTCTTGCTCCATATAATCACAAAATTCAAAAAAACTGATTTTTCAATCTGAACAAAACCAATAGATTCACACGTGAAAACGGTGTGAATATAAAAACAAAAAAAAATTCTGAATGCGTCCAAAGGTGCGGTACTGACGAAATGATCAAAATTGATCAAATATTTATCAAAATGTAATTTATCAGTTATGCACCCTTGGATGCGCCACTATTTGGAAGTCTCTTTAAAAAATTTAATTTCAATCAACTTCGAGATCTGGTTATAGGGCTTATTACATTACTCAATACACTGAAGTTCCGAATACCAAATTTATTTTTTTCCTTTGTTTGATCTGTTACAAAATCCCAATCTCCCCAAAAAGCGAAGGTAATAAGTGAACAGCCCCTAAGATTCTGATTTACATGCCAAATAAGTTTTATGATGAAACTAGAAAAGGAGGCGATTCAGGAACTTGGTACCAATTTAAAAATTAATCTACATAAATAAATTGCGACATTCTTCATTGTTAACGATACACATAGCCATGCAATATGAGCGGAAAAAGAAGATAAAAATGTGATTCTTTAGAGATCATTAAATCATACATATACATAATGTGTATGCTTCAAGATAACATTTATATTATCATTTTGAATGGAAGCGTAAAGATGTATGAAATGTAGTAGAAAAATATAATTGGTTCCCTCGCGATTATCTTTACCGGTTCAAATATGATAAGTGAATGTAATAATATGCGGTGTGCATTAGAACATAAATTCTTTTACACACGGAGGAGTCAGTAGAATAGATCAAAATTAGATTTAACAATACAAAAAAAAATTGAGGAAAAAGGCAAGATATTAGGAAACATTTGAGACATAGTTTTGATTGTCGATGTCTTGAATTTGTCGATTTAGAGCAGTGTTGTCCAAACTGTGTGCTGCGGTACACTGGTGTGCCATAGAATTTTTGTTGAAACTGACATGATCTGGATGCTGTGTGCGACTTCGGTCATGACTTACCCCTCAGGTGTGCCGTGGCTCAAAAATTTTGGACAACACTAATTTAGAGGCTTAATCAGAAATTTTTAAAGGAGGATTTGGGATATTTTTCTCAAAAATTCCTTAGAAATTGAAGATTTTTTTTTCAAATAAGGAGCTACAGCTGTGTCGATCTTAAACTGGACTGGTAAATCCAAAAAAAATACTTAAATTAATTTGTCTTCTTTTTTTTATCGTCAATTATCTTTTCATTGAAGATTTGTAAAATGATCCCTCGTAGAAGCGTTCCTATAAATAGTCACAAAATTGCACCCATAAATTATGTAGTTCTACTTTCAATGTTTCTGTCTATCGTTCTCTATCTTTATTACACTTCACTTTTGGGTTCGATGAGTTCAATGACATAAAAAGGAACTTAACATTTTCATTTACTATGTTTATGTTATAGAATGAACATCACATTACATTACATTTTTTCACAGTTTCTTCTCAAGTGTCACATTGAAATTTTTTTCTTTTTTTTTGTACAAGGAAATTTCAACCCTCAACAGTTTCTAGACTTGCTTATGAACTGCATAACTGTAGATGTAGGAGAATGTGTATGTTTTGTGTTATTCTCGTCGTCTTTCTTCCCTTTTTTTTTGTAAACGACGGAAATCAATGATTTTTCTTCATATAATCTTGTGGTGTCTAATTTGAGAACTAATTGGAGATGAAAAGTATCAAATTTAGGACTTTTGATTGATTTTTTTCAAAAGTTTTTTATTTTTTTCTGATATTTTTGTAAGGACATAAATTCAATTTGGAACTATTTCAAACATCTTCATTGATATTTATTCATATGAGCTCTCTCAACTAGTTCTCTCATTTCTCAATCTTAGTTTCATACTTTTTCATAACTTTTCTACTCAAAATTGTAAATCTTGCTATGCTGGAGGTAGAAAACATGTCAAAAAAATAAAAAATAATCTTCGTAAGCTTCAAGACGATGTGACACGCGCCGCTTCGGCTTTATTTCGGTTTTGTATTTTCTCTCTCAATTTTACGATTCTCTCTTGATTTTTTCTCATTTGTATGAAAAATTTACCATAAAATGAGATTCTCAATTTAGTCGTGTTTTTACAGTCCTATCGTGATCATATATGAAGAATTTTTTCCAGCTTCAAAGGCAATAAATTTTAAAATAATGTGTTGAAAATATATAAAAGTAAGAATTAAATAGACAATATAAGATTCAAGTCTTTATATTTGTGAAATAGTTAAAGTTCTTGTGGATTAAATTAAATTTATCATTAAAGTTATCCTAAAAAGTGCTTAAAACATCAATTTTTAAACCAGTTTTAAGATATAAATAACGAAAATCTTAGAAAAAAAAAATCATTTTTGAGATTTTGATTTTTAGAACAATCATATGACAAAATAAAGAAAAAAAAAAGTAATTTCCGCTCTTGGTGTAAAATAAAATTAAAAGAAAAATTTCATATTTCTATGTATTAGTAAAGAAAAACATTAAATTATTTTTTTTTGCATATTCCTTTTTCTTTTTCATCCTCTTTGAGAAATTGAGGAAAAAAACAATTCCGAAATTATAAAATTTTGTTTTGTTTATTTATAAAAAAATTTTAAAAACATAAATTGAAAATCCTCAAAAAAAGCGTCAAACAACAAAAAGTGAGAAGTAATATTGTGTTTTAAATATGTGTGCATATGAATGCTTGAAAGAAAGAAATTTATGAAATTTTTACACATACGAGAAGACAAAAAAAAAAGAAATTGTGTCTGTGACAATGATACATGAAGTTAATGTATTAATCAAATGCATGGTTTTTAATTGAATGCAATGATAATTAAAAAATATTAAAAGTTTCAAATGAAATTGAATTTTAAAAACTAGTGACAAAAAACAGCAAAATTTCAAAAATAAAAACATAAAACTACAAAAATATTCAAAAATCGTCAAGAGAAAGTTGATTCGCAGCGAATATCTTTAGTTTAGTTTATGTTTCCCCTGTCTTATATTTATCGTGATATAAAAAATATAACACAAATTTGTATACCTGTGTTGTGTATCAATTTAATCAAAAATTATATATAAAGCAACAACAAAGTGTATAAAAGAGAAGGAAAGGAATTGTTGTCATTACTCACACCCCCTTAAAACACACCAAAGTTTTTTTTTTATTTCACATAACGTGGAGGAAAAATAATTTAAAAAAAAACCAGGGTGAAAAGGAAGATATTTACTAAAAGGTGAGTCTCTCATTCATTTGTGTAGAGGTCAAAAGCACTGAGCAGCAGCAAAAAAATTGTTTATTCTAATTTGTTTCTGACAATAAATATACATTGCTCATGTTGCCTTCTGTGCGAGAGAAAAGAATAAAACTGAAAGAAAAAAGATTGTGCAGAATTAAGAAAGACGATATAGACAGAGATAGAAAGAGAAAAGGGAGCGATATTTTATACTTCGCTGAAAAATATATATTAAAAATAAAATATGAGTACCCAGCACAAAATTGTTTATTTTGCACAAAAGATAAAATGAAAAAAATTTTGTCTACTGCAATAAGTATTGGAAAAAAAAGAAATTTTATCTGAGCACATTAAGTCAAATGGAAATAAAATGTAAAGGAAAAAGTAGGATAGAGGTAGAAGGTTAATATAAGATTGGAAAACACTAGGCAATTCCATGAGTAAAGTTAAGTTAAAAATTCTTAAGGGGTCGTTCACTTATGACGTCTGTCAAAAAACATGATTTTTACACCCCCTCCCCCCTCTGTCACAGAATTTATATAAAAAAATTCTTGCGTTTGGGCTGTCTCAAAATCCTAGACCCCCAAAATGTCGGACGTCATAATCGGAAACCCTGTTTTAAGCTACCACTTTAGACACATTAAGATCGTTTCCTTCGAACAGTAAAGCTCCACAAAGTATAGTTTAAAAAACACTGTTTTTAAGAAAAAGCGCTCCAAATTTTATGCAAGGGGTGCACATTTTTGATTTTTCATGGACGACAAGTATGTCTTTAATTGGATTTGAAAAAATGTAGAAGAAATTTTCGAGTTAAAATGAACGAACGCGTCTTAAAATCACAATTTTTGATGAACATCATTTATGAACAACCCCTTTTTTTAACCCCATTCATCAAAACTCAAAACATTCACTCATAGAATCGCCTACAAGAGGCAACATGAGGCGACTTTACTAAAAAATGAAGCCTTATGAAGTTTTTCAATTTTAAAAATACGATTGCTTTAGTAAGAATTCAAATGCACAAAGCATTGTCTTACAATAAATCGATATATTTAGCAAATTTAAAACAGATAATAATTTTCTTTTTGCCTCAAATATCATGCCGAGAAGAAATGAAAAATTTCTTCATTGATGCGTGTTAAGGGGTTTACCTATAAGAATAATGATATTTTTCTCGCATGTCTTTTTATCATAAGAATTAGATAATGTTGAGGTTGTTCATATGAAGAACGATGTGGGTGAAAAAAAAGAAAAGCAATAAATATGAAAAGCCTTCCAATCTGTCAATCATACATGAGAGTTTCTTTGTATAGATTCACTTTTCTTCAACCCCTTTTTTTTCATCTTAGCTTTTGCTGAGAATGTAATCATAAGCTAACAGACACTATGCCTATAATTCTTAATATATGAACGAGACATGAGCTTTTTGCATATGATGAATTTTTTTTCTTCTTAGTTCGTTTCCCTTATCAAACACATTTATTTTCAATTTCGTTTTATCAATCAATAAATGGATCAATTCTAATGCTTTTTTAATACACAACTTTTGTGGAGTTGCTGAAAAAATTTAGACAGTTTTTCAAATGGATTTTAATATTAGCAGTTTGAAGAATTTCTCTGGTGCTTGAATACTTCTAAGTGTATGTTATAGTTGTCTTCAACATATTACAGCTGAATTGTAAACTTATGATTCATAGAACTATATCCTTATTAATTTCTAAACGCACTGTTCGAACTTGGCAATGTTCTGGCTTCAATTTTGATGATGCAGCCAGAACGGGCGAGTGTTTGAGGTTTTTCATTTTTAAGCAAGGCGTGGAAACTTAGGATTAATCTTGAAAAATCTCAAAAATCCTAAAAAATCCATGAGCCTATAATTCCGAAATTATTCATTAAATGCATCAGGGATTCAAAGTGATTTCACAAATTCATGTTAATTGGCTCAGGGATTTTTGGGATTTTTTAGGATTAATTCCTAGTTTCCACGCCTTAATTTTAAGAAAGTTTACCAGCTGCCTTCACGTTTTTTTCATTATTAAAAAAAATTACACCCCCTCCCCCCTCACCCCCAAAACAAAAATTAAACTACACCCCTAAATAAAATTATGAGTTCTCCTTAAAAAGAAGGTAAACTTCGCGGAAATTTCATTCTGTAAGTTTCTATTTTTAATATTTTAGTAGTTAACACAGTCATGTAAGGAGAATGCACACCCACACATAGGATAAAAGAAGAAGTAAAATAATAAAACTACAAAAGAATTATTTATTTTGTGAAGGGGAGTTATTCCAGAAATTTGAAAAGGAAATTCCCCTATTTGTATGACTCATAACTTTGTCATTTTCCAAATTTTATGCGCATTTCAAATATCATAGACATGTAAGAAAATAGAGAATGACTCAAAAGTGACGTTGAACTTATTTATATAGGTTTTTAGTAATTTCATTAGATGCAGAGTTGTCAGATGAAGTCTTTTGATGCATATTCCTAGGCATTGCTTATGTCCAAGCTTATCTAGCTTCTATAGCTAACCTAAATCTCCATTCACATCGATTTTCATCAATTTTTGAATAAATCTCAAAATCTATTAAAAGATGTGCCAACGATAGTCAGTGTCTAGGCAAAGATGACTGAACTTGCTTAGTTTAAAGCCACTCAACAGTCAACGACAACTTTGATTACATAACTTAAACATAAGTTTTGTAAAAACAACGGCACTATTTGAAATCTAATTATCATGCATCCGATAATTGAGACTGTTCTTGTGTTTCATTCACTTTACTCTTAATTATGTTGTTCATTGGAATTGCTTAGTTCTTCTCATTTTGATATGTAAATTGATTAACATTTTTTCTAAAGTTTTGCTTTGTCAAAATCTAGCACTTTTAAATTATCACATGTAAATTTTTTAAGTAAGCATGCTTTATTTAGCACTATATAATTAAAAGGAACTGATTTAGGGTTCGTGTTTAGCAGTTTTAAATTATTATAGGTAACAGTACGTTTTCGAGTTCTTATTAATTGGTAAAATCAATATTTTTAATTAAAGTGAATTTTTCTTACATCGAGAATTGAGAATTCGTCAGCTAATCATGTGGAGGATATGGTCAAATTTTTCGACGTGGCGAATTTTAAATCTAAGAGCAATATTTCTTTTTGGCTCAAAACGTTAGATTTGCCCAAAAGTTCGGAACTCATAAATTACATTTTGATCATCTTTGATCAACAGTTCCACACCCTTGGCTATGCCAATGAATCATATAAAAATCCAGGGGTGGTGAACAGAAATCTTTCCGTTAAAAAGGGAAAAATTTGAATCCACACTAATACTACCAAACATTATTCAAAAATAAACAATGAATATTTATGTTAAAAATTGCCTTAATTACAACTAAGTCTTCATTTAGAATATGATTAAATGTTTGATTAAGCTTTAGTCATTATGATTTACTTCTCTGAGGCCGGTTTAGACCTTCAATTAATTGATAAAATGTGAATTTTCCAAAAAAAAAAATATATTTTTATGGCGTGTGTTTAGAAATCAAATTTTGATATTTAACGTGAAAATAAGGTACCTTTTGATTTCTGAACACAAAAATATGAACCGTCTGCCACTCCCGAATAAAAATAAACATTTTTTATCACCAAAAACTTACAAATTAAAGAAATTGACCACATTTTGACTCTTAAATGCTGCCTTAGTTTACTTATACTAAAGCTATCCCGTTATCTTAATTTTTTTTCTCTGAAAATCTCTTAAAAGTTTTTATTTTTTTCAAAAATTTATGATCTTATTAAGGTTCATGACAATTCAATTAGTGATGAAAAATACATCCACTACTTTTAAATGTTTAAACTGTTTTTAAATACACGCTCTTATTCATTCATCATCGTCACAGAATTTCTTTCCAGTCATTTTTCATAATCCATTCATACTTTATTCGGATATATTCATCAACAGCTCATTTGAATAAGTGACAATTAATTGGTTGAAAAATAACTTTTTTAACTCATTCAATAAATTTTTATTAAATTCCATTTAGAATCGTGATTTAAAAAAAATATTTGTCTTCATCTGCTTTATGTTTGATTTAAATTGCAATGTCATAACTTCGATGATGATTATGAAAAAAAAAACAATATAAAATGTAAACAAAAAAAAAAGAATCTTGATCCTGTTGAAAGATTTTTCCTTTTAAACATCAATATTATCTTCTGTACACATTTTCGCTTCGCATGTATAACTAATGTTATATACTTTGTAAGCACAAAATATTTCACATTCAATCTTCATCGTAATTTTTTGTTTACTTTGCTCCGCTGTACTTGTTCCGCATACACTTTTCCTTTCTCAAAAATGAGACTTTTTTTTTGTTGTTGTGTTGTTTGACAGCGACAAATGCGACAAAGATAAAATAATTTGATGAGTCATTTTAGTTTCAGCCATTACCCCCCCAAAAAACATTATGATATTGAATATTTTTATTTTGTTTTGACTAGGAAACTTCTGAATTGCTTATTTTTTGTTCCTTTTTAATGACATTATCGTCATCTGTTTCCACTTAATGTTTTTTCAGTTGATGATTATATTAAATTTTTTTTAGATAAATAATTTATTATTATTATTATTTTTGCTTAAAAATGTTTTAATAAACCTAGAAATAAAATGTATTTTTACATTATTCTGCTGGTTGTTCTGCATGAAAAAAGCATTTTATTAACTTTGTAAATCGAACACTGTAGAATGAATTTTTCTTTCAACCCCCTCCACCCGCCCGCGCGCGCATCTAGTTCATGTTCTTATTATGATCAAAACTAGTAACTTTGCAAAGGGGCTGCTTACATGTTCGAGAAAGAAAACAAGAATTCTTATCATATTAAAATCAAGAGTGCAAAATAGGGATTTCAAGTTGCTCCAAACATTTGGTATTTAGGGTTTGTTGTTCTGTTCAGCATAGTACAAACATGCTGGTTTTATTATTTTATGAGTTACAGGACAATG